AAACGCCCCGCCCCCTTTGCTCCTCTTCCAGGGCTGAAGGTGCCTCCCACGTGTGAGCTGGTGGTGGGCGGTGAGCCCCAGTGCTGGTCTGAAGGATACTGCCTCCTCGTAGATGACTCCTTCTTGCACACAACGGCACACAACGGTAAGACACCACAGGCAGCAGGCTTCGAAAGCCCCAACGATGTTAGCAAAGTTGCCCTTCGGCAGTCTCAGTTCCCCAGTCTGTAAAATGGGGAACGCCTATGACCACCTCAATTGTGGCAATCGTCAGGATCCAACTCAGGCCCGTAGCCAGGATTTTGTGGTGGGGCAAAGGGGGCGCGCGCCCCTCTCCCTCCCCTCCTGCAAGATTTAAAGGGCCCTTCAGCTGATCAGCGGGGAGCATGTGGCCCATGGATCAGCTGGTAAAGGGTAAAGGTAAAGGTCTCCCTTGCTCGAAAGCCAGTCGAGTCCGACTCTAGGGTTGCGGTGCTCGTCTCCGTTTCAAAGCCGAAGAGCCAGCGCTGTCCGAAGACATTTCCGTGGTCATGTGGCCGGCATGACTAAACACCAAGGCGCACGGAACGCTGTTACCTTCCCACCGACGTGGTCCCTATTTATCTACTTGCAATTTCTTGCTTTCGAACTGCTAGGTTGGCAGGAGCTGGAACTAGAGACGGGAGCTCAATCCGTCATGTAGCACCCGGGTCTTGAACTGCTGAACTACTGACCTTCCACAGCCTGCAGTTCAGCGTCTTACCCACTTGAGCCACCGCAGCTCCTCTGATCAGCTGGAGGGCCCTTTAAACCTTGCAGGAGCGAGGGAGAGGGGTGCGTGCCACCCACCCCACCCCGCTTCTTCTCAAAAGAATGCTTTAAATGCTTTTGGGGAGAAGCGGGGGGGGGCCTCTAAGGAAAGGGGCGTGGCCTCTAATAGCCCCACCATAGCTACAGGCGAGATCCGACTCCCTCGAGTCGTCTGGGACTGCTGCATCCTCCAGCATCCTTTCAAGTGGGGCCTTTGGAGACGCATCAGTTGATGGAGAGCGGGGGGGGGCATGTTTAGCCCCACCTGTAACCCTCTCTTTCCTGCCAAGCTCCTTCCACCTGACCTAGGGGTTGCCGGGGGGGCCCGCTGGCCATTGGCAGGGGATAGGGCTGCCAGCTCCCGGTTGGGAAACTCCTGGGGATTGCAAGGGGGGGGGAGGGCTGGGGAGAACAGGGACCTCAGTGGGGGTCCAATCAGTGCCACAGAGTCCACCCTCCAAAGCATCCCCTTTCTCCAGGAGAGCGAACCGCTGCAGTCTGGAGAAGAGCTGGCGACCCCGAGGCCCCACCGGGAGGCTGGCATCCCTGCCCCGGCCACATGGGAGAGGGCTCACCTGGGGCCTGCCTTGGAAAGGAGCAGCTAGGGACACGGCCGCTGCAGGCTCTCACCCCATGCCACTGAGATGGAGTGGGACTTCATGGGGCACAGGGGGACAGGCGGGGCGGGGCTTCTGGCCTATAGCAAAAAAACAAGAGGCAAACTGGTACACTGGGAGGATTGATTTTAATTCACTCTTGAGACCCCCCCCCCTGCTTTGGATTTGCTTCATCAGGGGGAATCTGTAAAATATAGAATCAGAGTCGGAAGGAACCTCCAGGGCAGCCCCATAGCTAGGGAATTTTTGGGAGGGGGCCTTGGGGGGCCCACCAGCTAATTAAATGAAAGCACAGTGCAGGTGGTAGGTTGGAGCACCTTGGGGGCAGTCCAGGAGGGAGGGGGCACAGAAGAAACACTAGGAGGCTGGGCCCCGAGGGCCCCATGTTAGCTACGGGCCAGCTCCAGGGTCATCTAGTCCAACCCTCTGTACAAGGCAGGAAATTCACAAATACCTCCCTCTCCACACACACCCAGTGACCCGTTCCGTTCCCAGATGACAAAAAACCTCCAGGATCCCTGGCCGAAACTGGCCTGGAGAAAAATTGCTTCCTGGCCCCAGAGTGGCAAACCGCATTTCCCTGGGCATGTAAGAAAGGGCCACAAGAATTAAGCACCAATGCAACCCTTCCTGCCCTCCCTCTCATGATGCAGTGCAGACGCTCCCCACACCAACCGTGTTTGGTTGATACTTTACAGATTCCCCTCTGATGACGGGTATACAAAATGCACTGAGGTTCTCCCACTGCACCAATTGTCTCTGGTTGTTTGCTCTGTGCTTGGTGTGCCCCCCCCTCGCTTCCAGTGTGGGCATCCTCCCCCTACGTCCCACGCTTCGCCTACACCCCAAGCCAGGAGCGCCAGAGTGGAGGAAGCTGCTGTCCTCAGCCACAGAGTTGCCAGCAGGTGTGGCTTGGCATCTCCCTCCTGGGCAGTGGGCATGGCCGGCTCTGTGAGTAGCCCGGCCACACACCTCCGTCACTGCCAGGGGTCATTTTGTAGAAAAAGAGGTGCAGCTCATTAGCATAACTTATTTGCATATGCCACACCCCCTGCCATCACCAGAAGTTTGTCAGAAGGCAACACCCACCGCTCAGACTCCACTGGACTGTTTTGGATTGCTAGCTATTGGGGGGAGGGGGAAACGTGCAGATCTGTCCTCGCAGGGGAGGGAGAGCTTGTACCTGAAGGTGGGCCAGGGCGGGCTCTGGAACTTACCTGGCTGCTTCTTGCTCCTCGTGGCCCAACTGAGGGCTGCTGGGAGCAGGGGGCGTGGCTTGTTGCATGTGCCCGCCCCCTGGGCTCTTTACTGCCGGAGCTCCGCTCCTGTGCGCTCCTGCAGGAAATGACCCCTGGTCACTGCTCACCTGGGCCTTGCTCCACACTTCCTGGTTAGGGTTCAGGTCCCGGGGAAGCAGGGGCCACCCTGGCTATTGGAGGAGCCTGCACTGCCTGTTGGAAAGGTCCCCGTGGAGCCCATACGTTGACGGGTGGGCCTCCTGACCTTGGACAGCAGTAGTTCGTCAGTGATGGGGATGAGAGGGATACTCATCCCTTGTCCTGCCGTTTCCCTTTAACCTTCAAGACTAGAATGGACCATGGGCTCAGCTATTTTACACAGGTGCACGGTTGCTTGGTCAGTTGCTATTCATTGCAGGTGACCCGGCAAGCATCAGTGCCAGACTGGACATACCACCTAGATTTTGTAGGGTTACCTCAAGACGAAGGTTATGAAGGATGCCGCACCATTTGTGCTGCGGCTACAAGACGATAACTCTTAACAATCCTTATTGCAGGCTCCGCTTCCGATGGGCCGCGGGTGATTTTCATCGCTGACCTCTGGCACCCCAACGTGGCAGGCCCCGAGCGGCAGGCTCTAGACTATATCTTTGCTCCGGGCCGATAGGTGCCAAGAAAACGTCCTCAGCGCTGCCCTCATCTTCTGGTGTTTGCTGCTCCTTGCAATCATCAAAGCCCCTGCTGTTACTGCCTCGGTATGAATATTACTATTTTCACCATTGTGCGTACTGAGCTGGGGTGGGGAACTCTACCCCCTTTGGAGGTTCTAGATCTATGTAAGACCAGCTCGGGGAAGTACTACGAAACGGACCACTGATGTGCTCTTCTGTCTCGAGAGGATGCGGTGACTTGTCCTGTAGCTCTTTTGGACCTGGTGTCTCTGGGTTGCTTTTCACTTTTGGTGCACCCAACCTGGGTGGGTCCCTCTGGCCAGCTCTCTTCTCCTCTGGGTCTAACCTTTCAGGGGCTGCCTCAGGTGTGGATGCTGCCAAAGTCCATCGAAGCCCCATGAGCCTGTGGTTTTAGTGTCATGGACCTCTCTGTGTTGGGGGGGGGAATGGTGAGGGAGAAGCAAGACCAGTTAAACACTCTGCTTCAACCTGTCTGTGATCCTCGGTTAATTTCCTACCCTCTGTCTGTATTGCAAAGTTTGTGCGGTGGGACTTAGTCCCCCAGATTCCTGCTAACCAACCTGTACTCCAATAAAGAAATCATTAGATTCCCCCCACCTCTCTGTCCCACATGTGTTTTGTTGCAAGTATTCAGACGCCTTTTGATCATCGTTAATCTGACGTGTTTTATTAGAGCAGAACCACAGCCCCCCACAAAAGAAATCACCGCTTGTCCAGTAAATCTCAAAATGGCCAAAGTTTTGTGATCCGGGAGGTCCAAGACATCACAGCTCTAGAAAGTTAACGACCGAGAAAATTCCTGCCCCAGAAAAGGCTTCCAAAGGGAATGAAGAGGTCACTAAACATCAAGGAGAGACGCGCCCCTGGAGGTGCATGGATGCCCTCCAAGTGTCATGGTCAAGATGGCTTTGCATAGGGACAGGAGGGGGCATCAAGGGACTGCGTCCCCCCCCCCGCCACCAGTGTTTCTGTACAAAGGCAGACGAGTCCTTCTGCCAGCCTTTTGCACCCATTAGGTTGCACTGCCACCCTTTTTGCTGGTGGCACCAACAAGGCTTAGCAGCTTATGAGTCTCCCAAGTAATTCCTTTGCCTTCTGCCAATTCTTGCTAAATTTTAGTGCCATAAAAAAGCACCTTGTTAAAAATTTCTCAGCTTCCTGAATTCAACTGTCAGTGCTTGATGTACTCCGCTTCCTTCTCACTCTTCCTCGCACTCTTTCTGTGCCAACCAGAAATACAGAGAGTGGTTTCCCAGCATCTGCAGTTCTCAACATATTTAACAGGCTCTCCTTTCCGACCTGGGATGGGGAGGAGGGGGAGAGAGGCGGGCAAGGGCTGCATGCAGAGTGCCCATCCACCCCGCTGGCGCCACTTTCTTGGCTGATGCCCACCCCCGCCTCCTGATTCACCCACCAATTTCTGGGGGGGGGGAAACAAACCAACCCCAAATCTAGACATTAGTAAGTCAGTAAACAAACTCATGGAGTTTGATCATTCCTGAATAACTCCAAGGAAATACCTCCTGCAGCCAGTGCAGGATCTGAGCTGAAGTCCAAGACGCCGCCTGAAGTAGCGTGGCAGTGTGTCGATCTGCTTTAGCATTCAAAAACTCAGCAGCCTTTTGCTCCATTCAGCCAACCCCCAAGGGTCAAAAAGCCCATCTTCTTCATGGCTGTCAGTATTTGCGCTGGCGCAAGAAAAGGCCCGGGGGCCGTTTCGGAGTGGGCACATCATCCGAGTCCAGGTCAAAGAGGTCCCTGCCGGTCTTCAAAATCTGCTCCTCTAAGACTTTGTGGCGCTTCATGTCGGACAGCACCTTATCCAGGCGGGCCTCCCGCTTCTGGCTCTTCGCTGAAGACCCTGCAAAATGGAATTTTTAAAAAATAGGACTTGAGAACTTCAGGCAACAGGAGCAAGGGGAGGGCCAAGATTTTCAAAGGGAGAGGCAGACCTCGACCCCAAAGGATCGCTAGGAAACCACTCCGCTCAGTCCTGCCTTCCATCCCTGACTGTGTGATGGAGGTGAATGAGCATCTCCCTGCACATTCCGGTTGACTAGATCAGGGTCAGCGGGACATATTCTTACGGTCTTCTGCATAAGCCTGGCAAGTTTCCCCTTTGGTGACCTGAAAGCATGCCAAATAGACTCTCTTCCTCCCTTTTCCACTCTACGACATCTAACAGCCACAAACTCTGCCGGCCAAGCTTTCCTCGGGATGGCTTGAACAGCCAATTCCGGCATGGAGGAGCAAGGCTTAATCTAGGATTCCAGGGGTGAAGGGGTGGGGGAAGGACAGGACCTAAGGACGGGACCGTGGAACAGGAACAAGGAGGCTGGCACAGGGTGAATCAGGGTAAGGATGGAAGTGGGGCCCCCTGGGATACAGGAAGGCGTGGCAAACACCAAGGCTTGCAATTATATGCACAATTAGACCCGACATAGGCGCAGATGCTGGGCGGATTTAAAGGGAGTGGTCAGACAACAACATCTGGGAAGCGCCCCGCAGCCGTCAGCAACCCGTTCTGCTCCGCCACAGAAGCGTAGTTAAAAGACACCAGGGAAAATCTGGTAGTAAACGGGTTGTGATGGGCCACGGACAGACTTTCCCATGTCTGATCGCTCCAGCGTGCTCTCATGGCATCGGGATGGTCTGATCAGGCCATCCTGACTCTGTGCCATTGTTTTTTTCCCCTTTCGCAGTATGCACATTATCACAAACTCCGTAGGGAGCCCTCGGCGAGAAGGTGCGATTCATAGATCCCTCGGTTAAGTGCATGGGGGAAAAACAGCACACACACACAAAATAACGACTCACCCGCAGTTGCGTCTGATCACGCACTGACGGACTGTGCCCGCAGCTTCAAAGGGAGGCGTGAGCATGCAACTGCAGGTCAAATTCCTCCAGAGGAAATAGCCTCACTCCCCCCCCCATTTTTTTCTGGCACGTGTGACCGCAACCCAAGTTTTCTGAAAAGGGCAGGAGTCCAAAGAAGGTTAGTGCAGGGAAGGATGGCTTTCCTTGGTCACATACCAGGGGTTCTCCGGCGATCGATCAGGGAGCTTTTGGGTGAGATGGGCTCATCGTCAAAGTCAAACTCTGTCAGCACGTGAGGCCTGGAGGAAACAGAGAAAACCAGAATCAACACAGCCCTCCCTGGAAGCGGCTCCTTGACCCCCTCCCCCAATCCTTCCTCCTGTCCCTTCATTCAAACTTCAGGCCCCTGCTGCGCTCACTTCTCTTCCTCCTCCTCTTCCGGATTGTCAGGCTGCCCCTCAGATTTATCCTCGTCTTCGCTGTCAGGCTCCGGGGTGGGGTTGCGTCGGGGCAGGATCTCCGTCTGGATCTCCAGAGTCCCCTGGGAAGCAATGAGTTCGTAGAGGCGCCGGATCTCCACGGGAGGAGGCATCCAGGTGTCCGGAGAGTCCAGCTCCTCGTCGCTGCAAGGCACGCACCAATCCTCCTCGGCGGATTCGCCTCCCTCTCCCGCCTGCTCCCCCTCTGCTTCTCCTGGCACCTCCTCCCGCTCCTCCACGGAGGCAGCCAGCTCAGAGGCGGGCCCGTCTTCCACTGCCAAGGACTGCATCCCCGAGGTCACTTCTCCTTCCTCCACAGTGCTGGCCTCCTCCATTGCTGCGAGAGAGGGAGACCACAAAACTGAAGGCGAGACTTTTCAGACCCAAATGCAGCGGGGCCAAGGCTGGCCTGGGTCCACACAGCAGCCATTCTGGAGCGGGCCCTCCACAAAACAGCAGGAGGCGTAAGACAGCGGGGGAGGGGGGGGAAGGGCGGGGATTTGAACTGGTGAGCTCGGTCTCAGATCTCCTCTGAGCTACGGAAGAGCTACATTTGAGTCCAGTAGCGCCTTAGAGCCAGTCTGGTGTAGTGGTTAAGTGCGCGGTCTCTAATCTGGGAGAACCGGGTTGGATTCCCCACGCTTGGCAGGCAGGACACGACAGCTACAAGACCGAGTTGCTATCAGAAAAAGCTTGGCCATGATCTGAGCTTGCAAGGTGACCTTTAAGCAAGTCATAGCCTAGAAGCTTCAGCCTGCAATATGGGGATAATAACATTTCCTCTGCCTTATGAGGTTGTCGCGAGGATTATAACCCAAAAAAACCAACACAAATGGTACATATTATTGTCTTAAAAGGCTGCTTTGTGGCTTAACTAAAGAAGGGGGGGGGTTCCCAGCTCTTGCCCAGTTTGCCAAGAAACAGTCATCTTACCAGGAAAGTCGGAGCAAGGCTGAAGAGCCTGGGACTTTTCAATTTAGAAAAGACATGACTGGGGGGGGGGGGGCATGACAGAAGTTTATAAAATTATGCACGGGGAGGGAGTTGACAAAGATAGGCTGCGGTCACATGGAACATTAGCCATGCAAGAGAGATGGAAGACAGGTGGATTTTCCAGGCGCGATCTCACCGGCACATCTAGGAAGCGTAGCGCTTCCGTGGCACAACCAAGGCTTCCTGCCGAAAACACACAGCAAAAAACTAGTACCTCGGAGGTACTAGCACTAGTCGCGCGGAGGTACTAGTTTCCGGAAACCGCGGGGCAACGGCGGGCATCTGATCACGTTTCTGGTGGCATCCGGCGCCCGCCCATGTCCCCTTGCAAAAAAGGTGTTTTTCCCCCCAAGTCTCCGTGGATGCGCACACACTCCCAACGGAGCATGCGCATTTTTGGTGTACACACAAAAAAAACCCAGTTTGCCGCACCGCTTCTTTCTTGTGCGTAGGATTGTCCTGTGATCGGCACCTCTCCCTACCCACGGGACCTCCACGGGAGGTCTGATCGCTTAACCACGTGTTAGTTTGCCCCGGGGCAAACAGCCACGCTTCCCCCCCGCATTTTCCTGCCCGTGTGACCGGAGCCACAATTTTTTCCCCTCTCCTAAACTACTGGAACTTGAGGGCCTCCAATGAAGCTGATGGGCAGTGGATCCAGGATGGACAAAAGGAAATAGTTCTTTATATAGAGGGTGACTAAAATGTGGAGTTCACTGCCAGAGGATGTAGTGATGGCCATAGGCAATGCTCCCTCTAAGCTGTGAAGTCTTGTGAGCAAAACTTCTACTCTGTGAGCTACTGGCATTAAAGTTGTGAGTGAGCGATTTGGCTACTGCATAAAATGAGTTTGGTCTGGAGCCGTCCTTCCTGAGCGAAGACAAAAATGTGTGAGCTGAAGGCTAGAAAACTGTGAATTAGCTCACACTAACTCAGCTCAGAGGGAATACTGGCCATAGGAATTAACAGCTTTAAAAGGGGATTTGATTCATGGAGGATGAGTCTATCAATGGCTACTAGCCATGGGGACTGAGGGGAACTTCCAAATTCAGAGGCACTATTCATCTGAATCCCAGAACCAGGAAGCAACATGAGCGGAAGGCCTTGGCCTCTATACCCTGTTGTTGGCCCTCTAGAGGAACTGGTTAGCCACTGTGAGACAGGATGCTGGACTAGATCGGCCTGCGCTCAAAGGGCTTCCCACCACCACCCCGAAAGGTGCCCAGGTGAACACAAGCAGCGGCAACTCTATCGCAGTTGCTCCCCCTTCACCCACAACTAGCCAGCACAAGCCAAAAACAGCACAATCGAGTGTCTGTTCCTCTTCACTGGCTATAATATTCTTAAAGCTCACTTTTCCTCTGGTCCTTGTTACTTGATATGCACTTATCCAAGGAGTTTTTCTCAATTTAAAAATATCCAGCAAGAATTCACACACAATTAATTTAATGGCATTTCACTACAGCAAGAATTCCATCAGCCTTTATTCCGCCAAAGTTTAGAATTTGAACTTGATCTTTTAAACTTCGGGCCTCTCCCCAGGGTCTGATGGATGAGAATAATGGAGATCCTACTACATGGCCACTGGCATACAACCAACTTGCTACACATTACTTAGCTTATTTATACAGCCTGCTTTCCTCGAAAAGGCTGAAGAGGGATTAGAGAAGAAAAATGTACTCACAAGACATCCAATGAACAAGGCGAAGACAATGTGAGCAATAAGGAAGAGAGTGCACTGCCTACGGCAAAGGTATTGTGTGGGTTTAATGCACTCATAGATTATTGTGGCCCAGCAGACAAAAAATGATGCAGGCAGGAAAATACCTTTTATTAGGAGCCCTCAAAATTACAGGGAGAGGAAATCTCTGCACGGAGAAGCAGTCTTTGTGGGTGTGGCTTCCTACGGGGTATTCGCAACCCAAGCCTAGAATTATGGAGAATAGAAAGTCGTTACTTTCCAGAGAAACATCTGAAAGATGACACACAGTGGTGAATCCATGGTAACGGTCAGAGCAGATTTGATGCTGGGAGTTTTGTGAAGGAGCACCTAAAAACTTTTTTGCTGTTTTAAAAAGCACATGCACCTGATTTTTAAAATCACACACACAAAACAACTTAGGAATTTATTCACAGTTCTCAGCATCACATCTCATTTGGCTGTTAATTTGTGCTCATTAAATGAAGTCTGATTCTATTGCTTTGCTGAGTTTTATCAACATACAGTTCTAAGAGTCTAGTAGTATGTTAAAGACTAACAAAATATGTATCCACGTAAGCTTTTGGGAGTCAGCTAATTTCTTCAAATGTCAAATTAGTTGTATTTCCTTTTGTTTCTCCTGAACCTTCCCCCCCACCCCGAAGACTTCCTTGAGTGCTCCCAAGTTCTAGTATTATGGGAGAAAAAGCTCTCTCTAGCCACTTTCTCCAGCCCATGCACAGTTTCATAAATCTCTATCATATGTCTCCTCTTAGCTGTCTTTCTTCTCGACTGGTAAATCCTGGAGTCTCCAGCTCATTTCTCAGAAATATAAGAGGAAAGGCAACGGAAACCGCCATAGTTATACTTAACTACCTAATGCAGGGGTGGCCAAACTGCGGCTCGGGAGCCACATGTGGCTCTTTCACACACATTGTATGGCTCCCAGCTGGGGAAGTGAAGGGGAGGCATACCACCCCCTCCCTCCCATCTATTTGCTTTCTTTGTTTCTCTGTCTCTCTCTCTCTTTCTTTCCACCTCTTTCATGCTTTCTTTCCACCTCTCTCTTTTTCTCTTTCTCTTAGACAAATAAATATCATTAGCAAACAAATAAATATCATTAGCAAACAAATAAATATCATAAATATGTTTTTACCCCTTTTATTTTTTGCAGTCTCATTTAATGTTAATAAAAACAAATTTGCATATTTTAAAATAAAAACATGCATATAATATTTGCTCATGTTCTGCGGCTCTAAAACATCTGACATTTATTCTATGTGGCTCTTATGCTGAGCAAGTTTGGCCACCCCTGACCTAATGGATGCACCATGCACCTGAAGAAATGAGCTCTGACTCACAAAAGTGTACACTCAAGTAAAACAATCTTAGGTTTTAAGGATTCCTATTTACTTTTGCTGCTACAGGCCAACCTGACTACTCAGCTGGAATTTTTATGTACACAAGCCACTTTTCAGCTATATTACAACAGGAATATGAACTGCATTAGCAACAAAAATACATACCACCTTGTTTCAAATGGCACAAGCAGATTTTCAAATTATATATAGATATCCCTTAAACTACACGAATTTCTTCCTTTCTTATACCGAGGAATAGGGGAAAACCTTCAGTCAACTGTAAACAGGAACAGTTAACATCCCAATCTGAAATTTTAGTTCTACATTTAAAACTTTTTTAAACAACCAGCCTTAAGAATTGCACAACTATGGGTGTTTTCACACACACACTAAATAACACACTTTCAATGCACTTTGCAACTGGATTTTACCGTGTGGAATGGCAAAATCCACTTGCAAACGGTCGCTGACGTGGACTGAAAGGCATTCTTTAACATGTGTGAAAGTGCCCATTATCTGAAAAATCACTTCTCTGGACGCGCGATCCAGCCACCGTTAAGCACATCTCAGAACCTTACGGAAAGACTTAATGCAAGAGCTTCACGGCTGCTCCTCTTCGCACACTTACTTGGGAACAAGCTCCCACTTAACTAGGTGGGATTTACTTCTGAGTAGGGTCGATCTGTCATTGTAGGGTGCGCGTTTCCGAGCTCGCCACCCAGCTCTTCATCAGGCGAGCCGTGAAAGAAAGCAACCCGGGTGGAATCCGCCTAAGCAAACCCTCCCCGCCACTGAACTCAGCCCCGACGGCTTCCAAAGGCTGGGCAGTCTCTGGTCCTCAAGCCCTTTAAGACAGGAAGAACACACGAGCGCCCTGCCGAGGCTCAGAAGGCCCCCGGGATTCGGCCTCCTCCTGCTGGGAACGAATCACGGCTAACGGGGACCTGCGCTCAAAAGGTTCCCTCCCCCACCGCCCCGAAAGGTGCCCAGGTGAGCACAAGCGGCGGCGACTCTATCGCAGTCGCTCCCCCTTCACCCACAACTAGGCAGCACAAGCCGAAACCCGCACAATCGAGCGCCCATTCCTCAGCATCCTTCGCTCAGCGATGAGGGAAGATGGGCCATGCCTTCTCAAAGGCGCATGCGCCGCTCTTTTGAAACTTCCGCACGTCCCCTTGCCGTTTTGTAAGCACACCCTGCCCCGCCCCCTCTTCATTTAAAGTCTACGAACAGGTCCCAGTGGCATCTTTCAAGACCAACAAAAAATTTATTCAAGGTGCGACACCTGGCATAAAATTGTGTTGGTCTTGAGGGTGCCACCGGATCCTAACTTTCTTCTATGGCTTCAGACCAACCCGGCTGCCCACCTGGGTATATCTTTAAAAGCCTACGAGGTTTGTTTCCTCCAACGTCTTCCCGCTTGAGTACGCATGCCCGAGGCGTTGTGGAAGCGGCTGGCTACTCACGCGCAAGCGCACCTGGCGGGTGGTGATGGCGCGCACGCGCAGTGGTCCCCGCTTTCCCTGCCCATTGGCCTGCTTCGGGTGGATGGGGCGGGCTTAGCGCCAAATACAAACGGAGGTTGGGGAGCTTTTCAACGCTCCTTTGTGTGCGAGCCGCTTCGGACTGAACGGGCTGGCGAGTGGCTGCATGGAGCGGTCCGTAGCGAATTACGTTCCCTCGCAGCAGTCGGCCAGGGTTTAGGCTCTGTTGAGCTAGAAGTTGGAAGAAGAGTTGGTTTTTTATACCCCGCTCTTCACTACCCGAAGGAGTCTCGGAGCGACTCACAATCGCCTTCCCTTCCTCTCCCCACAACAGACACCCTGCGAGGTAGGTGAAGCTGAGAGAACTCTTTCGAGGACCGCTCGTGAGGGAACTGTGACTGACCCAAAGGTCACCCAGCGGGCTGCATGTGGAAGAGGAGTGGGGAATCGAACCCGGTTCTCCCGATTAGAGTTTGCCACTCTTAACCACTAAACCACACTGGCTCTCGGGGTCCCTAAAAGTAGGGTTGCCAACCTTCAGGGAGGGGGACTGGCGATCTCCTGGAATTGCAACTGACCTCCAAACCCCGGAGATCAGATCCCCTGGAGGAAAAGGGTAGCTTTACAGGGTGGACTGAATGGCGTTATATTCCCCTGAGGTCCTTCCCTTTCCCAAACCCGGCCGTCCCCATGCGCCCTCCCAGAGTCCCCAGGCGCCCTCCCAGAGTCCCAGAACCTAAAAGGGTAAGTATATCTAGGCTCTGCCTGTGCGATGGGGAGGGCTGGTATCTGAAGGAATGCTGCCTTAGATTCGGTCAGATTCTTCTAGTGAAGAAGAAAATGTGTGTCTGTAAACGGCTTTGGGTGCTGGAGGTGCTATACAGGTGAGGCCAGTGTGGTTTGCTGGTCATAGGGAACATCCAGGTTAAGATCTCCACTCTGATGTGGAGGCTGCTTGGGGGGTTTACATCACTCACTACCTCGCAGGGTGGTTGTTGTGAGGCCGAAATGGAGGAGGAGAGAGCAATGTTGTAAGCTATTTTGGATTCCCACTGGGGGGGGAAGTGGGGTATAAATGTTTTAAGTAAATAAACATTGCTATTGAATAGCAAACTGTGTGGCCCTTGTATGGGTGAAGAGCCATGTATCAAGGCTATTCCCAGACAAGTTAGGGGACTCCATCTACTTGGGGAACTCTCCAGGTCACCAGGAAAATATGGCTTAGTAAATCAATTAAAATTGGACTGAACACAGGATGCTGTATAAGACTGAGTCAAACTTCTGCTAATGTCTACTCTGGCAGTGGCTGCCCAGGGTCTCAGGTGGAGATTTTTCACATCACCTGCTGATTGATCTTTTCTTCGCTGAGAGTGCCAGAGATTGAAACTGGGATCTTCCGTGGGCAAAGCTATGGTCTCACTGCAAACTGATGTGACTCCAGAATGGGAGGGAATTTTGAGAAAAGCGGGGTGCCAGTGGGTCTTTCCAACCACATTCCGTTTCTCCCAGTCTCTTGGTGACTAAAGGCCCCGGTCACACGGCAAAGTTGCTGCGGGAGAGGCACGGATGGTGGGCAGATTATCTGGGCACGATCACACTCCAACATCTGGGAAGTGGAGCGCACCCGTGGCTTACCACCAACAATGCGAGTTAAAAAACTAGTACCTCCAAGGTACTAGTAAACGTTTGCCACGGGCTGCCTCCAGACGCCTGTGGTTTGATCGCGCTGGAGCGTGGCATTCCCCTCTGGTCCCTTGTTTACCCGCTGGCACCGAGGGAAGGACCCGTGGTGTGCAGCCGGCGCGTCTGATCGCGTAATCAAACTGCGCCGGGGCAATTAGCCACGCCTCCCCGCCGCCGCCGCGATATCCGGCCCGTGTGATGGGGGCCAATATTTATTATATTCTACCTTTCCTCCATTATGGAATTCAGCGTGGTTTAGGGCTCCCATGTAAGTAATAGGCAGAATCAGACCTATCTCACCTTCAAATCTGTTTGCTGTTACCATATTCTTTCCAACTGTACCCTCAGCCTAATTGACCCCTGTGAATGAATACATTTTCTCCTGGGAGGCTGGCAAGGAGAAAGCCTCCACTTTGCATTGTAACGTTTATTTCTTTCTAGGCAGAGGTGGAAGTCAGTTCCCTTTTACCTCAGCCACTGCCCCCTATATTGGGGGTGGTGCCTCAGCCCACCTACAGACAAAAGGGATGGTCCAGCTTCCCCCTTCTCCCCTCCCCCTTCTTCAGGCAGGGAACAGAGAGTTGAGGGTGTCAAGTTCTAGAGAGGCTTGAGGAAGGAATTTTTTGGAGATGACAGGAAAAGCTTCCTTGACTTGGGCTGACTGGGGTCAAGGGAGTGGAGTATCAGAGATTATAAAATCTTGCCAGAGGAAGGTGGTCTCTTTTCCTGGGATGCTGAGACCATGAGAGGAAACACAAAGACCTCTCCTCTGGGAAGGTGGCCATTTTTGACCATGTGCTCACCGGGAACTTCAAGGTAATTGGAACTCTGTAGAGAACTAGAACATCTGAGCTAAAGGGCCTGTCCTATATTTTAACAACTGACAGGGCATGTACAGAGGAAGGGACAGAGGATTTGCGTTTTTACCAATTTCTTTTGGATTCCTTGCTCAATCTGGTGCTGTGCTAAAAGTATACCTGTAAACATTTTATTAAATACTTACTTCATAGCTTTTAATGCTGGGAGCGGTTTTCTGTACCACATAGACTTCCACCATCTGGAACACGCTATCTGAAGGGGGGCAGGGGAAAGGCAGGCAGATGGCAAGTGCCTGTTCCTCCAAGGGCACCCAAGGCAGTAATCTATCCCCATGGTGACCAGGTGCTAGGCAGTGGAAGACACTGAGCTGAACTTGGAAGGGAAGCTGGGACTCCTGATTCTCCCAGTGGGAAATCCCGACAATTATTAAGTGGTAGTGGCAGGCTATCCGAGAGTGGAAGTTGGGAACCCCTAGGAGGGCAGGGTAGAATAGGGCCTGCAGGTCAGAGCAGGCTGGTTCCGCTACAACCACCCGCCCATTCACCATGTTAAGCTTAGTTTCAGAGGTCTGTTGCCTAAGAATATGGAGGTTGCCTTTAGTCATCATGGTTAGTAGTGGCTGATGGACCTCTCCTCCATGAATCTGTCTACTCCCTTTGTAAAGCGAACAAAACCAATGACATCTTCACTATATACCCTGACAGCAGATCTCACAATTTCAATATTTTGAACCGCAGGTGCTTTTTAACCATTGTTGACCATTTGCAGTTATATGGTAGTATGGTTGTTTTGCCAGTTTGGCGTAGTGGTTAAGTGTGCGGACTCTAATCTGGGAGAACCGGGTTTGATTCCCCACTCCTCCAGTTGCACCTGGTGGTGTGACCTTGGGTCAGTCACAAGCTCTGGCACAGCTGTCCTTGAAAAAGAGCAGTTTGTGTCACAGCTCTCTCAGCCCCACCCACCTCACAGGGTGTCTGTTGTGGGGAGGGGAAGGGAAAGGAGTTTGTAAGCCGCTCTGAGACTCCAAGTGAAGGGCGGGGTATAAATCCAATCTCTTCTTCTTCTGCCTGCTTACCCTAATGACTTCATGTCTATTTATGCCCCCAAGTAAGCTAGTGACTTGGATTGGGCACCTAATGTGTGGATCAGTGTGAAGTGCTAGCCTAGTTTTACCTGTTAAGTTTCATCCTGAAAGGAGTCATAAAAGCCAAATTAAGCACATACAGTTTTTCTTGTAAAAATAACATTAATTTCATTTGTGGTGCAATACCCCACGTCCTAGCTTTGGTACCTCCTGATTAGCAAGAGACTTGAAAATATGATTGGAAATGTGTGGATGGAGACTGAGTCTGGATGAGGCTGCAGCAGTTATCTGTTACCCTAGTACCTGGCTAGTTATGAACAGTGGGGCTGTGTCGCTCCAAATGGCTGCTGGTGCTTCCCGAGGCTAACAATGACAGAAGTTTCCAGTTTCACAGGAATGTAGAGATCACAATTGAAAACCCAGTAAATGTTTCTTGGCGTATGGGGTTAGGGTTGTCAGTTGCTGTTCTGTCTAACCCCCAAACCTTTTCTCATCGTAGGTATTCATGACGACTAGCCAACGACTAAGTCAGGCCGAGTTCCGGCGAGTCTCCACTAAAGCACAAGCCCGGGTGCGGGTTTGTGTGCGACTGCGGCCTTGTGTGGGAACTGGACAGGGTCAGAATGCCCCCTGTGTGCGAGGGGTGGACTCCCACTCCCTGGAGATCCTCAACTGGAGAAATGAGATGGAGACAATGAAGTACCGGTGAGTTGGGCAGAGGATTCAGGAGGACTGGGTTCCTCCTGACCCATAGACCCAGGGTCAGTGAGTATAATTTCCCAGGGCAGCCATGTTGGCTCTGGTAACTGATGTACTCCCACTCAAGGGCTCTTCAGCGCTCTTGTGCCACCCACCCAGTGAAAGCAGGTCCATGGACACCTCCCCCTTTAGGCACTTCCCTGCTTGCAACCATTTGCCTCCGTCTTGTTTCACATGTGGGAGTGAGTGAATGAGTGACAAGGGAAGAACTCTCCCAGCGCCTCTGTTGCTGTTTGCACTGTGAGGGAGCAACCCCAAAGAGTCCTTTGCTATATTTTGGCTCGGGGGTGTGTGTGCCAAGGGTGCACAGTGGTGCTCCCTCTACAGGGGAAGGTACTTTAGATGTTATGGCTGTGCTGGGGAAGCACTTGAGGGTTGGATTTGACCTCCAGTTGCCTCTTCTACCTTTAGAAACCACTGGTTTTCTAAAAAAGCCAGTGGCCTACAATCATGCCTCCTTTCCGACCAGGTTCGATGCCTTTTATGGCGAAAAAGCCACCCAAAATGACATCTACATGGGATCAGTTCAGCCTGTCCTGCGCCATCTGCTGGAGGGGCAGAATGCCAGCATCTTGGCTTATGGACCTACCGGAGCAGGTGAATATCAAGGGAGGGGGCAAATGGACTAAACCAACCTAGAGGAGCTGAAGTCAAGAAGTGGGCTGGAATTGGGAACTGACCCAGAACTCTTCTCTGAATTTCTCCCCCCCCCCCCCACACACCCCTTTTCTATCACCAAAATGGCAGGTAAAACACACACCATGTTGGGGAGTCCGGATCAGCCAGGGGTGATACCACGGGCGCTTCGGGATCTCTTGCAGATGACGAGGAATGCTTCGGGGGATGAGTGGAAGTACTCTATTTCCATGTCCTACCTGGAAATATACCAAGAGAAGGTAAAAGATGATGAACTAGAGCTCTGTGAGTGAGCAATGACGCGTAGCGGGGAGGAAGACCTGGGAGATGAGATTTGGGGAGAACCTGGCATAGAACAAGATGGGGAGGGAGGAGCTGGGCATCATGGGAAAAGCGTTGTCCTTTGGCTTGCAACAGGGGATGCCAGCACGGCTTCTGTTCTCGTCCTCCCGTTAGCATTTTGTCGAAGGTTGCCGATGCAGCCAGCGCTCCCTCCTGGGACTAGCTGTCCGTCTTGCCATCCCTCAGGTGTTGGATCTCCTAGAGCCCTCCCTCCACGACCTCCCAATCCGAGAGGATCGCAACCACCACATCCTGGTGCCAGGCCTGACGCAGAAGGAGATCACCAGCTTCTCCGACTTTGAAAGCTTCTTCCTGCCTGCCAGCGCCAACAGGACGGTGGCGTCTACACAGCTGAACCAGCGCTCCAGCCGCAGCCACACTGTGCTGATGGTATGGGTGAGCCAGACCCAGGGTTGGCCCCCCTACGCACGCCGGGCCGCCAAACTGTGCCTCATTGACTTGGCCGGCTCGGAGGACAACCGGCGGACGGGCAACAAAGGCCTGCGTCTGAAGGAGAGCGGAGCCATCAACACTTCACTCTTTGTGCTCAGCAAGGTGGTGGATGCCCTCAACCAGGGGCTGCCTCGGGTGCCCTACAGAGACAGCAAGCTTACCCGTCTGTTGCAGGTAGTTGGGTCCTCTGGAAGGCCGGCAAATCTTACCGTCGTTGGGGCAAAGAAGGGGTGAGCTTCTCCTAGACATTCTTTTTCTCTTTAGGATTCCCTGGGTGGCACCGCTCATAGCGTGATCATAACAAACATCGCCCCCGAGAAGAGATACTACTTTGACACTCTCACAAGCCTCAACTTTGCTGCCAAGTCCAAGCAAGTGGTGAATAAGCCCTTCACACAGGAAACCCTGCCCGATATGGGTAAGGAAAAGCCGGGCCTATTTAAGTTTTGAGCAGAACTGGAACAGAAGTCCTGTTGAGAGGAAGCTAAGATTCCCTAGAGCAAAAGGGGGGAAAAGGATTAAAAGAGTTTGAGGGTATGGTATATAAGAAGTTATATAGTAAGAAATTACAGAAGGGACTTGCCATATATGGCTGTTTATTTCTAGTTCTGGGAATATCAAAGTGTAGTTTTGCAAAGATATGGCAACAGATGATTGTTGAAGTAATTACTGAAAAAGAATGGCAAACATTTTCTCCTCTTCTGTTGCTACAGCAATAAAGACAAGGAAGGGAGTGAAGTTCATCAAGGTCATCTGTAACTAATATTTAACTCCATATAAATAAGATGTATCATACAAGCAGTCTGCATGTTGGAAATGTGGAGAAAAGGCAGCTGAACTTACACATTTTAGAAATGTCCAGTGGTGAAAATATTTTGGTCTAAGATTCTTAACAGAAATTTATCATATTATGGAGAGTATCTTCCCTTTAGATCCTAAGGGGGTATTACTTGGACTAATTAATGCATATTGTCCAGAAGTTGGTATAAGGATGATACTTGCCGTGATTACAGTTGCAAAATTGCTATTAGCGTAAAACTGGAAATCTGGTAAACATCTCACAATCAGATCTTGGATTCAAAAAGTATGGTGGGTTGCAAAACTATCAAAATTGTTAGAACTAATTTAATTGCAGTACTGTTGTATTGAAATGTACTTTTCCCCGATGACTGAAAATGTGATTTTAACATATGTATTGTATTGTAAATTTTTTAAAAATAAAAAGTACCGTAAAGAGGGGAGGGGTTCGGGGTGAAAGCCAAATGACGGCCCTAGAATCTCCCGCAGTCTGCCCTTTCTCACCCTCAGCAGCAGCCAAGAGACCTTCTGCAGACTCCAGGGATGCAGAGCTTGAGGCGAAGAGGCCCTGCCTTGAGGAGGACCACCAAACCCAATTGGAGGAGAAGCCGCTCAGGTCAGGCGCCAGGTCTTTTAGCAGTGCGGGTTGAGAGGGAATATGGCTTTTGCTGGTGTGGTAGAAGCTGTGGCCAAGGCGTGATAAAGAAAAGCCGAGTCTTTCTCCCCCCGCCAGTTCCTTGATACCTCTGGAGAATCTTGAGCCGGCCGTGGCCCAACGGCTCTTGCGCCTGGAGGCCCTGGAGAAAGAGCACGCGAGGGCTGGGAGTCATGGGCTGCCCCTCCTCAACACCCCCCGCAAGGCACGGCAGCGCCTTGTGAAGCAGCTGGAAGAGACCCAGCAGAAACTGAAGGTGAGGCTCTTCCTTTCCCTCTCCTAGGAACAAATGTATCCGTGTGGCTCAGATGTCTCCTTTCTCCTCCGTGTTCCAACAGGGTTTCTGTAATAATTAACTGCATGCATGTTTGTTTGTCAAATCATATTCCTATTGATATATTACTCTGTTTAAATGACTACTTAGGACTTTCTTTTTACATGGCCAGTTTGGTGTAGTGGTAAGTGTGCGGACTCCAATCTGGGAGAACCGGGTTTGATTTCCCCACTCCTCCACTTGCAGCTGCTGGATGCCGTTGGGCAAGCCATAGTTCTGTCAGAGCTGTCCTTGAAAAAGAGCAGTTTCTGTCAAGAGCTCTCTCAGCCCCACCTACCTCACAGGGTGTCTGTTGTGGGGAGGGGAAGGGAAAGGAGTTTGTAAGCCGCTCTGAGACTCCTTTGGGTAGTGAAGGACGGGGTATAAATCCAGTCTCGTCTTCGTCTTCTACTTCCAAAATCGGCAGCTGGCAGGCAGCCCTTGAAGCCAACTCAGCACAGTGCACATGGCTGTTATAAGTAAACATCAGTGTCCATGGCTTTCATTTCCAAGGTCCTTGCTAGTCTCTGGCCCCTTCTGCCTTACCCACACGGAAGGATGGGGTGGGTGGGGAGGCCAGCTGATTGAATCTCTGGATCATAACGCCATGCTAGGCCGCGAGCCTGCTAGCAGCATCCCTGATTCTGCTCGACTTCTCTGTCTCTGCAGGCTCTGCAAGAGAGGCAGCAGGAGATGGAAGCCACAGCTGCTCAGAATGAAAAGCCTGGGCCTGCCCCCCGTCTGCCTGCCAAGCCCCGAAAGAAGGCCGTGGTATTGCCCTTCCAGAAAGGTGAGCATACTCGAGAGTCCTGCATCCAGATCTTTTCTCCTCTTTCTTATAAGGTTCGAGCTCTCCCCCCCCCCCTTTCTTTCCAGTGCAGACACCCGAGAAGACCCAGGAAGAAGACACTGTGACCATCATACAACAGAGGAAGAGAGGACGGAAGAGGAAGGTGTGTCTGTGTGTGTCTGTGTGGGTGGGGGGTTGGGACACTCATGGTAAGCAAGAATTGAATGCTTAAAGCTGGATGGAAAACAAAGCCAGAAAGAGGGGAAATGTCAAACCAAAGCAGCACAGGAGCTAGTCAAAGCCAACGGTGTCCCCTGCTCAGCTATCTTTGACACCTTTTTAGTGGAGACTGAATGTAGTGTTCCATATGTGGGAAATGTGGTCTGAACCAGTAGTTTTTGAGCTTTGTACATGGTCTCATCTGCTGACGAAGCCGGTATGCTGCAGAGAATCCTGAGGTGTGATCTAGCCCGTGTTCTTAGCACAGAGCATTTGCCAGGACTGTGGAGCAGCCTCCTCTTTCTGCACGAATGAGGAATATAACAACAGGAAAGAGTATTAGTTTAGTTTTGTGTATTTATGGGCCACCTTGGAACTAAACAGTCCTCGACGTGGTTTACAACAAAAATAGAATACGGTGGTGGTGGTGGTGGGAAGAGCCATCAAGTTGCAGCCAAAGTATGGTGACCCTGTGGGGTTTCCAAGGCAAGACTAACACAGGTCGTCTGCCACTGCCTGCCTCTGCACAGTAACCCTGGACTTCCTTGGTGGTCTCCCATCCAAATCCTAACCAGAGCTGACCCTGCATAGCTTCCAAGGTCGGGCTAGCCTGGGCCATGCAGGGCAATATGGTACAAATCAATTAAAAGCCAGTAAAATACAATCAGAAGGAGGGAGTCAGCTTCCCAATAGTGCCGCTTGCCCTGCCACACTGTACCTTACTGATCTAACTCAAAGGCCCTCTTGTTAAGATACGTCTTCACACCCATCCAGTTGGCCTTTTGGGAAACAATTGTCTTCATCAGCTCCCGAGGAAAGGAATTCCAAAATGGGAGGAGGGAGATCAGTGGTTATGGGCAAACAGTATTTCCGGGAAGCTTTTCCATCACTGCTCATTGAGGTAAACCCATTCACGAGTTTCTGAGATGTGTCGGAAGAGGCCAGGTCAGGAAGTAGTCCAAAGAAGACAGTGTGACATCTCACCCCCTTCTCCCTTTTGATGACTGAGCAGACTTCGGTCTCCAGCTGTGAAAACGAAGCTCCCACCGAATGGGAGATGGCTTTGCGACCTGATTTGCTGGCTCGTGCCAAAGAGAACATCTTGGCCCTCCTGAACACAGGCTCGGAGAAAGATCTCATGGCTCTGCACCGGATTGGCAAAAAGAAGGCTCTGCTCATTGTGGCCTGGAGAGACCTCCACGGGTCGTTTAAGAAGGTGAGTAGACGCTGCAGAGAGTAGGTATCATTTCTCTGGGTGATGAAGCTGTTACTTCCGAGAGGGAATAGCTGTTCGAACAGAAAACACTGTGTGGACTTTGGCCTGCTACCTTAACAGGTAATGCGGTCCTGACCAGTGTTCCCTCTAAGCTGAGTTAGTGTGAGCTAGCTCACAGTTTTTTAACCTGGCTCACACATTTTTGTCTTAGCTCAGTAAGGATGGCTTTAGAGCAAGCTAATTGATGCAGCAGCCAAATCGCTCGCTCACAACTTTAATGCCAGTAGCTCACAAAGTAGAATTTTTGCTCACAAGACTCCACAGCTTAGAGGGAACATTGGTCCTGACTCACTGCTTTGAAAGCCAGTGTGGTGCAGTAGGAAAAAAATATTGGATTAGGAAGACCTGGGTTCAGAAGTTCAATTCATTGGGTGACCCTGAATTAGTCACTTCTTATAACCTAACTCACCTCATCACGGGTGGTAAAAATAGTTACAGTCCAAAATGAGGGCACCAGCGTGGTCTGATAGGCAGAGCTGGTCTTGATCACGGGAGAGCTGGCTTCAAATCGATCTTCTGGGCAGCCTTGAATACGTTGACTCATGCTCAACTGTGGAAGAGAGGAGACACTCGTTCCAGAACAGTGTCCACCATTTAGAGGAGGAGATTTATAGCTGCTATTGTCCAGTTCCACCAGAATACTGGAACCACAGTGGACCTTCATACCGACAGCCTTTTGCATGAGGTCATCTTCCTCACTTTCCAGAGCACAGCTAGCCTGCAGTAGTGTCACTGATCCAGACACAGTTGTGTGTTCCAGGTGTGCCTCATTCTGAGCAGTTCTTATGCCTTGCTTGGTTCTTAGATATGTCCACCTGTGTGATTTGGCAGCTGTATAATGCCACTGCATCTCTCCCCAGGTAGAAGACTTTGAAAAAATTGAAGGGATCTCCGCCAAGCAAGCAGCTTCCTTTATAAAGGTATGCATTCAGTCCTGTTTACAGGAATGGTTAAGGGGGAGACAAGGCAGTGCTGTGTTTCGGTATATCATATTATGTCGAAGCAATTTGTTGGGCTTAAGGAGTAGATTTTTAAGGCTGTATCCTTGGGGTTCAGTCCTGACCTATGGAAATATAAGAGTTTTCCCCAGTAATTTTCGATAGAATCTAGGTTGCACCATTGTTTGCATCTTACCTTCTCTTGTTCCAACGACCCCTATGTACTTCTGACAGCTGGAATGCTCTCACAGCTGCAAAATGAGTGGGCTAATTTGGGGTCACCAAAGGGGTATGTTGCAACCTGAGTAATCCTGTGTAGGAGAGGCTAAACAGGCGGGAGTTCCCTCATCAGCCTCTGTGTCCCATCCAAGAAGTCCCATAGCAGAGAGGCTAGCAAAAAGAGGTCATGGGTGGCACATTGACAGCCTGAAAGCAGAAAGGGGCAATACTTTCAATTTACACACTGCATCACCAGGATGCAGTTTGTTCTGGCGTTTCCTGAGTCACCATTTACATTGTTGTTCCTAAAAAGCTTGAGGATTTGTATTTAGAAGCAGAAGGGAAGAGGCGTTCAGAAATGGGAGCTGTGGAATATCACATTGTGCTTGAAGTCATGTGACGTACTTGTGTGCATGAGAAGATCTGAGACGATAAGCTGTTTTAACATCCTTGTTTTCCTTTCCTCTTCCCCTCTCTCTCCCCACCCTTCCTTTCCAGGCAAATATCCTGAGCTGCCTTGGAAACCTTCAGCCACTAGACTGATTGTACAGTCCACTTCCTCTGCGCCTTGGTTTTTATGAACAATGTTCCGGGTTTAAATTAATTTCTGTGCATTTAATGAATCAAAATGAAATACAACATTCTTACTTTTATCATCTCTTTCTCCAGTCCCTTCTATATGTAATTTGTAGTGGTTAAGTGCGTGGACTCTAATCTGGGAGAACCGGGTTTGATTCCCCACTCCTCCACTCACAGCTGCTGGATGACCTTTGGCTAGCCATAGTTCTGTCAGAGCTGCTCTTGAAAGAGCAGTTTCTGTCTGAGCTCTCTCAGCCCCACCTACCTCATAGGGTGTCTGTTGTGGGGAGGGGAAGGAAAAGGAGTTTGTAAGCCACTCTGAGTGAAGGGCGGGGTATAAATCCAATCTCCTCCTCCTCAACATTCATTACTACAAACACATATAAAACTCAGTACAAAAGGGGGGGGCGTAACCTAAAGTAACGTTCTCTAATCTTATCTGCTAGCTATTTGACCATGCAAAATAAATCCTTACTGATTTCCATAAGGAATGCTCTAACCAGAGACAGTAGCAGTTATAGTATCAACTACACAGTCTGAGATTTTGCAAAGTTAAATGTTTAGGACAAAAGTCAACTCCTGTTCTACTTCCTTCAGTAGGTGAAAGAAAAAATAATAGAGTACTGTAATGGGTGGAGGTAGATGGAGAAGAGAGAATCTGCTTTTATGAGGAGAAAAGCTTGTGGAGTAACAGTGTGAATGGTTTTCAAAAGGTTAAGTGGACTGACTCTCTTAGCAACTAGGTTTCAGGATACTTAGCAAGGCCGAAGAATTCTTGTAACAGTTTAGGCCCAAGCATGGGCTGCATCATATCTAGTTCGAGGGTGTCTAGGATGTTTTTAGTCTATTTCATTTATATGCCACTTTTATCATTTATCATCCCAACAACTCTGCGAGGTAGGTTAGGATGAAAGAGTTTAACTGGCCCAAGATGACCCAGCAATCTTCCATAGATTAAAACGTGGGTCTCCCAGATCCTAGCCTGCCACTTTGGCTGTAACAAACTCAGGTTGAAATCTTGGATCAGTAAATATTACTGTATATGCATATACAGTGACAAAAGCTTTTCTCTGTAATGGTCTGTGCTGCTGCCAGGCTGGGTAATTCTACACACTGCTTGTATCCCTGTCTGCAAAGGGAGAGGAAAGGATTTCAGTGAAACATAGCCTGGACTTCCAAAACTGCACCAAGAACCACCGTTGCATAACAAACCAGTGCAGGAGAGGGGTTAGTGTGTCTAGGACCAGGATTCAGATCACACTTCCTGATGCTCACTGGGTGGCTTTGGGCCTGTCACTCTCAGCCCAACCTACCTCCCAGGCTTGGGCAGGTAAAGCAGATCTCTTGGCGGTACGGTAGAATAAGAATGCAAGATAGCTGTTTCATGGAGGATGTGTAGCTGTAAGCCAGAATGACTAAACATGCAGAAGCAGTACCAGTATCACTTTTATGGGCACATTTAATAGGGCTGTTCTCAACCTGTCGTAAAGCAGGTGCTCCCATGAGTGCTTATGCCACAATAACTCTTAATTAGCCTCAGATGTGATAAGACTGCTTCCTGATGTTAGTGCCTGTCTATCCTTAGGCATAGCATGAGCATGAGGAAAGACCTCTATGAGGCTGAGAAAGGTGCTGCTTAAATTTCTTAGTGGTGCTTTCTATCCCTACGCAGGACTACATATGTAAAGCGTGTGTGTGTGTACACAAAGTGCAGCCAACTTCTAATGACCCCATAAGGATTTCAAGGCAAGAGATGTTCAGAGGTGGTTTGCCATGGCCTGTCTCTGCAAAACACCCCCGGTATTCCTTGGTGGTCTCCCATCCAAATCCTAACCAGGGCTGACCCTGCTTAGCTTCTGAGATCAAGCTAGCCTGGGCTACTACCAACAGATGAAAACTTTAATATTGAAATAAAAACATGAACTCACCGTATAACGGCCACAAGCAGTATGGATTGAAAACATTCCACAATATGTAGTAATGAGATTTAGCATGGACTTTGGAAACCACCAAATGACAGTCTTATCAGGTCCTCCACCTACAGGATACCAGCTGAGTCTCACCCTGCAAACTCAAGCCTTTCCCGCAGAGAGGGTGAGAGACGGGATGAAGAGTACGTTGTTCTAAGGAATCAGTTCAGAATCTTCTCCAAAAACACATACATTCTGACGAATACAAACACTTCTCTTCCAAAGAGTAAAAAGCTGCAAACATAAGAGCACTTCCTGGATAAGTCCCATTAAAACGAGGCCCAGGGTGGGATAGAACCACTAAGTCTATTTTAGCATCTGAAGAGGTGGGCTCTAGTCCACAAGCATTTATGCCGGAATAAAGGTTCTCTAGTCAGTAAAGCGCCACCTCTTTATTCCTAAAGGGTGGTGACTGGACTCTTGTGGCATAAGATACTTGGGCTAAAGGGTGAGGAACTGTAGACTGTACCACAGCTTGTAGGAAGTACTATCTGTTGCTGTAAGTTGGTTCCTATGTAATTTTTGCTTTTGTCTAATGCAAGGGGTCCCCAACCTTTTTGAGCCTGTGGCAGGGTTCCCAAGTACCTACCTATGATCCGGTGGGGGACACATGCTTCCCCGCTGGAAGATTCTTGCTTGGAACACAGGCGCTGCACTATTCTGTTGGCCAGACGTGACGTAGGCACATAACTGGGTGATGCTCTGGTAATGGGACTGGAAACTCGATGGTACAGCGCCTGTGTTTTCCCCATGGGAATGGTCCCGCGAGGAACTATACATTTCCCGCCGAACTAAGGTAAGTACTTGGGAGCCATGGCCTGTGGGCCCCTTTGGAATTACAGTGTGGTGGACACAGCCACAAAATGGCTGCCACAGCTTAGTGTAGTGGCAGCAGCTGTCAAGGCAACATTTTAAAAAATCTGCACAGCCAATCAGAAGCCTCGCTGGGCAAAAGCCCCACCCACTTCCAAAAAAAATACTTGGGTGCCTGGAATGGTGTTGGTGGGCACCATGTTGCCTATGGGGCACCACATTGGAGACCCCTGGTTTAATACTTATTCTGTGCTTCACCTCTGGTTTCCAGATTTCTACTTCATTCCTTTTTCATTGTCTGCTGCAATGCTTCCCAGTGTTTTTGCTACGGTAACCCACAAGTCCCAATTCACTTGATTTGGTGATCAATCCAGGGCTGGCCCAAGGATTTATGGTGCCCTGGGCAAACTGTGACCTTTGCACCCATCTAGTTAATCATTCCATTTTCTATAGAGCCCAATGAGATGTTTTCGAGAAACTAAACCACATAAAAAACCACATAGTGCCCCCCTAAGCAAGTGGTGTTCCTACACACACAGTCTTTGCATATTGAGGTTACATTTCAGCCTTTGACCACCCTCTCCTCCATTATTCCCTCTAATAATCCGGTCTAAGGTTCTAAGAAAATTCATTCTAGTAAGAAATTCAAGTGTGTCCTGAGGTTTACTAACCAACACACATAGATGGTGAAGAAAAAATACCAACTAATGTATGACATGGAAGATACTATTTCCAGGGTCAGATATGAAAGAGCAATGGAGAGGGCGGGGTGGTCATTAGGGAGGACTGGGCCAAGACCCACTTTTGGGTGCTGACTGAGACACACTGGGCTACTGCATGTCTCACTCTGTTGACTGTACTGATTGATTCTGCGTAGTCTGCCTTGAATCCCAGTGAGAAAGTCGGACTACAAATGAATAAGATTGGGGGGGGGAGGTCCTACACAAAGAGGTATCTTGTCGAAGCAGCATAAATTCTGACAAACTACCAGATTACACACATTTGAGTCCAGTAGCGCCTGAGAGACCAACAAGATTTTTGGGATATAAGCTTTAGAGAGTGTACGTCTTTCGAAGGGGCTCTTTGGTTTCCCCTCCAAAGCATCTGAACCGTCTCCCACAGCACCCACAACAGGGAAGCCAGGAGCCCTGGAGACCTGGCTCGTACCCACGGAGGGGCATTTGGGAGCAGAGCCCTGCCCCACCACCTGAGGATGCCAGGCACCCCTACCCACACCCCAGTGTGCCTAGTACAACAGCAGCCGCCAGGCCTAGTGAAAGGGAAGCCGCCCTGCAGCTTTTGGTCACTTTCACTCCTGGGGATCAGCTGTTAGGTTTAACAACTCAGCAGAGGGGAGTGAAACTAACCAGAGGCGGCAGGGCAACTTTACTTTCCTTCCCCAGCCTCCCGGCTGCTGCAGGGGGCTGGGGATGGAGTGGAAAGACGCCCTGCCACTTTGGGTCAATTTCACTCCCCTCCGATCAGCAGTTAGCGCTAACAGCGGTTGGTCAAGAGTGAAACTGACCAGAAGCTGGGCGTGAAATGCAACTGAGGTTTGAAGAGCTGCGATTCATTTTTATCTTATTTTTTAATTTGATGTTGCGTCTGCCCCACAAGAAAAAAATATGCCCCACAAGCAAAAAAAAAAATTCTCGCTACGGGTCTGCTGGAGGGGCTTGTAGGCTGCTCGTCAAAATGACGCCTCTGGAGGGACACCTCGAGGGTGGGGGCAGAAAAAGGCGCCCAGCTCATCCAAACCCGACTCCGGTTTCTTCTGAAGCATCGCCGCCTCTTCTGTCACACCCGGTTTTAATGGCGAGGGGGGGGGGGGGGGGAAGCCCTGAGGGGCCTCCCTCCGCCCTAAGTCTTCTAGGGCCGGGACCGTCCTGCCCTCTCCAAGTTTACAGTAGACCAACCGTCGGGCTTAAAGGCTTGTGCGCATGCGCGTTCCCCTAAACTATCATTCCCTTCCCCTCGCTTCCCGCCTCGCGTTCTTCCCCGCAGGAACGACTTTGTTTTCTGCGCAGGCGCCAGCCTTGTGTCGGCTCTCACTTCTCCCCTGGGGAGGGGGAAGACCTGCTGGTGCGTTGTCTGGCTTAAAGCGGGCGGGTACCCGGATGTTGCCGCTTCCAGTACGGCGGGGGTGAGAGCTTTGAAGCGCACGCGCAGTGGCTCCTGGTCCCTCTTTCTCTGGGGCTTAGACGTCTTGGCTGGTCGTTGGGCTCTGGGTCCAGGCGGGGCTAAAGGGGAGGGGTTTGGGCTGAGCCCACCCCACCCCCCTTGGGGAGGTGAGTACGTGGGGGGGGGTGCCCATGGCATGGGCAAAGGTGAAAGGGCACCTGGGGCTGGGGGGAAAAGGGGCTGTGAGAGACAAGCCAGCAGACTATGGGGAGCAGAACGTGTTGGGGGGGGGGAAGAGGTCCAAGGGGATTCTGAACTAAAAAGTGGAGCAGAAGGCAGGAGCTCAGGTGGAAGTGATTCAGTTACTGGGGGTGGGATTTTTCTCAGCCATGTTGGGGTGGTGTTGGTGGTGAAAGTGGGTGTATAAACATTGCAATAAATATCAATAAATCCGGGGTACCAGGAGGCTGGCAGGAGGTGAGAAAGATGGGGAAAACATCCTTGGGGCAGAAGCACAGAGGAAGGGCTGTGGGTGACTGGGGTGGAGTAGCAGGAAATGATCACCAGGACTGAGTTTGGAGGGCAGAGGCCAGAGAGTCCGGCAGTGAGCACAAAGGCTGGTCTCTTACTTGTATCCTGTTAACAGTGTCCTGCTGGGATCTTACCAGCGTCTTACTAGCTCCCAGTGACAGTTGTGTGTGTAAAAACTAAACAGCGGTCCAGTGGCACCTTAAAAGTGAATGAACGTTATTCTGGCATGAGATTTTGTGAGAACTCTGAGCTCTGATTTATGAAGGTTACTACTGGTGTGTTTTTGCTAGCCTTTCAGGTGTCATTGGACTTCTGTTTAATTGTTCCACAATAGTTTAACATGACTGCCTGTCTTTAGGGTTAGGGGATGTACAGAACGTGGAAGTTATCCAGTTCTTCTTCAGGGGGCTTAAACAGTAAACTGGGTGTGATAAAAAAAGAGAGGATGGCATGTGGGGGAAGCCACTGAAATGGCAACAGAAGATTAAGCCATTATGAAATTGCCCCAGATGCTTCAAGTACTTTCTTGGGGTCCCCCCCCATTTTTGAAATTTTTTTACTTTTCTGTCGAGGCAAAAGGCCCTCTGTTCTGTAGAAAGCCTGTTACTGAAGATCACTTCTGTCTTGTCTCTCTCTCCACAGGAGGTGATGTCAGCCGAAGCCACGGCAGACCCGGTTCCGTCCCCGGAGGCCTGTGCTCCGCTAGTCCCAACCCAGCAGCGACGGGATGGCGGGGGCGGGGTGGCGGGGGCGACCTTTGACCTCAAACCTCTGAACCCCAGCAGCAAGTATGTGAAGCTGAACGTGGGGGGGTCCCTCCACTACACCACGGTGCAGACCCTCACCAAGCAAGACACCATGCTCAAGGCCATGTTCAGTGGCAGGATGGAAGTGCTGACAGATAGCGAAGGTATCTCCTAATGGTGTCTTTGCCCCACCCTGTAGCCAGTTTACGAGACAGGAAGGCCGGTAGGCAGCTCTCTTAAGTCAATAAAGTGTGAAGGCCAGCTGGGAGCTCTGGTTTGTCGGAAGAGGGTGCCACTGCTTTGTGAATCATATCTGCCGTTCAGTATGGCAGAGGGAGAAACCATAAACAGTTTGGATTTTAAACAAAGAACTTCCCGGTTTCTCTGTATGCAGATGAAAGCTTTGATGGGCTGGAGGATTTTTTTTTTTAATAAACTTCCATTTATTTAAGTTATGGATACTCTGCTCTGCTTCCAGGGCTCTAGATGGGTTAAGTAAATGTTTATCATTTTAAATTCAAAAAGTTAAATGTTCCCTGATACTGTCAAACAGCACGAAGATGTCGAAGCTGACACATCTAGGCAAGAGCACAAGGGTTCTCGTGACAGTCGCCTCTTGATGTTTTTGGAGTCTCTTTGGGACTTGATTATTGCTGAAATATTTCAGTGGGTGATTTTTTTAAAAAAAGGGAAAAGGATTTGTTTCACATTCCTTGAGGATCTTGTAAGCTGTTCGAGGAAGCAGCCTTGGCTGTTGATGCCTTTTCGTCAGTGACCCGAAAGACCAGCTGGCCATCTTTGACACGGCTCTTGCCGAAAATGAGCTCCTAATTATCCAGCCAATGGCAGGAGCCAGGCTTGATTTTTTTCCCTTTGCCGATGAATCTTTTTCTGAGAGGCAGGAGGGACCCAGTCCCTGTTCCTTTCCTCTTGTCTCCTACCAGCAGGTTTCCCTCTGTCCCATGGCATCCCTTTACTTTAATTTATAGTCTATGCAGGCCTGAGGGCTTATAATTATTTACAATGAATCATCTGTGTATGTAACACTTCACAGAGCAATGCAGGCAGGACCCAGACAAACAAGGAAAAAACCATTTAAAAAGCCTTGATACATTCCCTGAGTATGCAGTTTAAGATTTGCCAGTGGGAAGATGAGTGGGTTTTTTTTTTAACTTAAATATTTAGAGGACAAGAGCTGAGAAATCACATTGGCCTTGTACGGCATTCTGGCAAGTTTAGTAGCAGACCTCAATCGGGGAGAGGCTGTGGCTCAGTGGAAGCGCCTCTGCTTGGCATGCAGAATGTCCCCAGCATCTCCAGTTTAAAAAAGAACTAGCTACCAGCAATGTTCCCTCTAAGCTGTGGAGTCCTATGAGCAGAAATTCTACTTTGTGAGCTACTGGCATTAAAGTTGTGAGCAGGTAGTTTGGCTGCTGCATAAAATTAGTTTGCTCTGGAGCCATCTTTCCTGAGCTAAGACAAAAATGTGTGAGCTGGAGGCTAAAAAACTGTGAGCTAGCTCACACTAACTCAGCTTAGAGGGAACACTGGCTACCAGGTGATGTGAAAGGCCTCCGCCTGAGAACCTCACTGCCAGGCTGAGTAGACAATAACGATCAGAGCTTTGGGGGGGGGGGAGGGGGGAGAAGAGGTGCTGGAACTCTCTAGAGGGAAATGAAGTTTTCAATCGGCATACTGAAATCTCATGAACTTTTAAACATTTTAAAAAGAATTTTGTCAAAAAAGGTTCCGGAACGCCATCCTGGCGCGTTCCCCCAGAAAAGAAGCCTTGACTCTGATAGGCCAGTGGTCTGATTCAGTGTAAGGCAGTTTCATGGGTTACCTGAGCAAATAGGTTTAGCAAAAGCTAAACGAAACCAATAGTCTGTTTTGTCCAACATCGTTTCTCACACAGCGACTCAGGAAGGACCACAAGTAGGGTGCTAAGGCCAAAGCTCCCCCTTCCCCCCGCCCCCCAGGGACTGGTATTCAGAATTCTCCAGTCTCCGAACATGGAGATTCTCTTTGGCCATTATGGCAAATGGCCACTGATCGACCTGTCATCCATGAGTGTTTCCAGTCCATGTTGTTTAAGGCCACCTAAGCTAGTGCTCCTCACTACGTCTTGTGTCAGTGAATGTTGGGTGAAGAGGTTGTATCTATTGCCGGTCCTAAATCTCCCGCCTGTTGATTTCACTGGCAAACTCATGCCGGCAAGAGCGAGTCTTATGTCCAGCTATTTAAAAAAAACCAAAACTATCCCTTGAACTTCATGGCAGAAGCTCTGTAGCAAAGAGAGAGATTCTTCCTGTCATGGTTCAAATGCAGTTGAAAGTAATTTTGTACTTCAGATATGAAAGGTCAGGCACCCCTCCACCCAAGCTCTACACCTGATTTACCTTTTGCCCCTCAGCTTGTTGTTCTTAATAGTACAAGCCAAACAGTGTGGCAACAGACACACAGCAAATATCTACGGCTAATAATTAAAAAGTAAGCAAAAGCATTGTGAATTAACATGTAGGATTGTTTTTGCAACATAATAAGCAAAATCAACTATAGAAATAGTACTATTTTCTCTATCATGGTCCGGTGCAAAACCAAGCAATATTTAGTCGGACGTGAAACAGGGCTGCCTTCTTGTTGCTGTTCCCCGCTCCTCTTCTGATGGAACCATAAACATCCGTTTGCTTTTGCCAGGCTGGATCTTGATTGATAGAAGCGGGCGCCATTTTGGAACCATCCTGAATTACTTGCGAGACGGTTCTGTTTCCCTCCCCGAGTCCCAGCGGGAGCTGGAAGAGGTGCTGTCTGAGGCCCGGTACTACCTGATTCAAGGCTTAGTGGAGGACTGCCAGCTGGCGCTCCAGGTGAGCATCTCCCTGCTGAGAAACCAGGGACGTTTAGCATCCCGTGCTGCTCTCTTCAAGGGCAGAACAGCAGCTTCTGAGTTGCCTCATGAGGCGGCAATGTCTCTCTCATCTCTTCTTTTTGTTCCCTGCTCAGCAAAAGAGTGAAGCCTTTGACCCTCTCTGCCACATCCCCATGGTGACGTCTCCAAAGGAGGAGCAGCAGATCATCTCAAGCTGTTCCAAGGTAAAGCGGTTGAGGAATTCTGTGCGGTGGAGCCCCAGGAAGGTTGTGTAAGTGAGGCCGTTGTCAGTACAGAGAAGGGGAGCTTGGCTGGGTGCCCTCCAGTGCTCCCTCTAAGCTGTGGAGTCTTGCGAGCAAAAATTCGACTTTGTGAGCTGCTGGCATTAAAGTTTTGAGCAAGCGATTTGGCTGCTGCATAAATTAGTTTGCTCTGGAGCCATCCTTCCTGAGATAAGACAAAAATGTGTGAGCCGGAGGCTAAAAAACTGTGACTCAGCTTAGAGGGAACACTGGTGCCCTCTAGCATATCCGGGACCTACGCAGCTGTTTTGTTGAAGAACAGAGAGCATGGGAAGCTGTCCCATATGTTTCCATCCATAAAAGCGTAGCTCAGCAGGCTATAGTGTAGGGGTCCCCAACGTGGCGCCCACTGACCCCTTTTCTGAGGCCTGCTAGAAAGTGGGTGGGACAGGTGGTGTTTTTGTCCATCTGGGCTTCTGATTGGCCATTAGAGAACTGATTGGCTGCAGAGACTTCTAAGATGATATTTTGGTGGCAGCTGCCACCACAGCACTGCATGTCTGATGATAAGCTGCGTACATGAAAGAAAATATTTTTTAAATTATATGTTCATTTTAAAAGGCATCCTGTTAAGCAGAGTTTCTGCCAGAAATGTTAAGGAGTTACTGGTAGAGTTACTCCCTAACAGTTTGTGGCTGGCTGTCCCTCACCCGGCATCCATTATCTGGCTCTGCCCACCCCCCTGTTTCAGAATTGCAAAGGTGCCCACAGGGTCAGACAGGTTGGGAACCCCAGAAGAAGAAGAAGAGATTGGATTTATTCCCCCCCCTTCACTATCCAAAGGAGTCTCAGAGCGGCCTACAAACTCTTTTCCCTTCCCCTCCCCACAACAGACACCCTGTGAGGTAGGTGGGGCTGAGAGAGCTCTGACAGAAACTGCTCTTTTTCAAGAACAGCTCTTATCAGAACTACGGCTTGCCCAAGGTCATCCAGCAGGTGCGAGTGGAGGAGTGGGCAATCCAACCTGGTTCTCCCAGATTAGAGTCCGCGCACTTAACCACTACACCAAACTGGCACCAAGCAGCAGTAATGTATCCCTTGCCCTGAGGAGTGGGCAAGGTGCAGGTTGTTCTGCGAGACCCCAGCAGTTTGGCCAGTTAACAAAGCGGGAGGCTAAAAAACAACTTGTGTGAAGCAGGCTTAAAAACACAGCAGTAGTAAAGGAACAGAATCCACTCTCCTTTGCTTTCTTTCAGGAAACGTCTGCTGTGTTTCCTTTATCTATGTGTTTTTTCTCTCCTTTGCTTAGCCTGTGGTGAAACTGCTGCATAACAGAAGCAACAACAAGTATTCATATACGAGGTAAGGCACATTTTTATTTACATTATTTATAGTCCGCCTTTCCCACTGGGACTCCGGACAGATTATACAGAATGAGTCAATACAATCAACAAAATGTAGCATTCAATAAACAGTGCAGGAGGATTCAGATTGTTGAAGTCTGGAACCAACCAAAAAATTTAAAGGTAGAACTGAAGCACTGCATAAGGGTTAACATGACATGTTAAGCAGTGCAAACATTACATAGGAGGATCCTACTTACAGCAAGCTATACACAGTAGTATAGACCACAGTCCCTAATCATTTATCCAAGTAACTTTGTTTTTTCAGGAGATCTTGGTATATTTCTTATATACTGTTCATCCACAGCAGGGTATATTTTCACCTTTTTGCTAGTAACTGTGCATCTTGGAGACCTGCCCAAAAAACTTTCTCCCTGCATCTCTGTTCTCTCTCCACCCTGCCCCCATCTAGTAATTCCGATGACAACTTGCTGAAGAACATCGAACTCTTTGACAAACTCGCTCTGCGGTTCAACGGGCGGGTGCTCTTCATCAAAGACGTCCTGGGAGACGAGATTTGCTGCTGGTCGTTCTACGGGCAGGGCCGCAAGATCGCTGAAGTCTGTTGCACCTCTATCGTGTATGCCACTGAGAAGAAACAGACCAAGGTGACTTGCCATGTACATTAGCTGTTGTCCCTTACCATGTCATGTACTCGGTTTGTAGTAAGAAAGAGCACTGGCTCTCCTGTTGATAACTGGTGGATCTTAATAGGACCCCTCACTTCCTTTGAAGAAGTGTTGGGTGGATTACCGCTTTATAAGCTGCCCTGCAAATCCATGGGTAGGTGCAAAAAGCAGACCTTTTGAAGAGGTCAGCGTTTTTTTTAAAAAAAAAATCAGTTTTAAATTTAGTTATTTTTTTCCAAGAAATGCACAATCTCTTAGTTCAGTTTGGCTCCTTGCAACCAATTCATATTTTGTGAGGCCTCTTAAATTGCCCACTCGACCACCCTAGTTGATGGACTTGGTATGGTCCATTGCTTTTGTTTTTTGGCTTGTTGCAGTGTTGGGGTCTGGTTGATTTTGCTTTTTAGACTTTCCAACATGACCAGAATTACGTCTGTATTCCTGTATAAGGATCAGGATAAATGTTGTCGTTTTCTTTGGGTTGCTGTCTGTATTACCATTTCATAGATGGGCTTGGGGAATGCGCCTGAACTACTTGTGCCAGGTTGTGCCAAGACGGCATTCAATCCCAGGTTTCCCAGACCCAATTCCAATCCTTCCATCCAGCATAAACTAGTTCTGTTTCATTTTTTGTCAGATCTTCCCTTTTCCAAAGAGTTCCAATCAATGCTCCCTCTAAGCTGTGGAGTCTTGTGAGCAAAAATTCTACTTTGTGAGCTACTGGCATTAAAGCTGTGAGCGAGCGATTTGGCTACTGCATAAGTCAATTTGCTCTGGAGCCATCCTTCCTGAGCTGAGACAAAAATGTGTGAGATGGAGGCTAAAACACTGTGAGCTAGTTCACACTAACTCAGCTTAGAGGGAACATTGGTTCCAATCTGTAGTTTGTTTTTTTTAAATATCTTCACAGCCGCTATTTGAAGTTAAATGGAATAACAATGATATGGCCCGGGCCTTCGTGAATCAGAGCAAGGATTTTAACCTGGAATTCTGTGTCAAATCTGACCACTCGCACCTCATTCTCTCTTTCCACTGGTGGGTAGAATCGGTGTGACCTCTCACTCTCTTGTGTACAGGTGGAGTTTCCAGAGGCAAGGATCTTCGAGGAGACCCTGAACATCCTGATCTATGAGACACCGAGGGTGCCGGATAAGGCCCTGCTGGAAGCAACAGGTGGGGTGGCAGGTGGAGGTGGAGGCCCCCTCCGCGCAGGTGATGATGAAGACGGGCGGGAGCACCGTGTCCGGCGCATTCATGTCCGCAGGCATATTATGCACGACGAGCGTCCTCACGGTCACCAGGCTGTTTTCAAGGACTGAGCCTCTCTCGATCCCAGTGGTGTTGTCACTCCGCCCATCCAGTGCCAAAGGAGGCCCTATTTCCTCCTTTTGACCTTTCGCCCCACGGTCTTTTCAAGAGTGTTTGCGACCATTCTAACCCATGCCTCTCTTCTCCTTGGCCGTGCCCTTCTCCCTGTGACTTCGCACCCTTCCTGAGCCCCTCGTTGACCTTATTGTGACAATTGACACCTTAGTCCATCTTGTTCTTGACTCACATGCTCTTTCCAATTGTTGATTCCCCCCCCCGCCCTTAATATGAGTCTTAATCTTAAATGCCTGTCCTTTTTCTCTTGCTGTTTACTCCCCCTGTACGCACCAGTCCTCTTCTTGCCTCATAACCCTTGAGAGGCCTCTCGAGTCTGGATAGTGACCCATTCGTTATTCATAATGTCTTTGGCCCAGAATATTGTCCAGTGAGACTAGAGACAGTCTGACTCTTGGGATCCACAGAAAAGCATTAATACAGAAATAGGGGTCTGTGATCAATGTGCACATACCAGAGGGAACCTACTTCCCATATTCCACTTGGAACATTGACCTCTTCTCCAGTTTCTCGAGGGTCATCACAGGTAAGCAGCTGCCTAGTCGGAGGCATTGAGAATCCTTTTTTTGTATACCTACTTTGTATAACCTTCTTATGCTCTCTGATTTCTGATTAACACCCTCATAATAGTTTTTGGGGTTTTTTTGAAATTCTGCCCTCCCCTAAAGGACACACAGTGTTTTTGGTTTTTTGTTCATCTGTTTTTAACTTATCGGTTTTTCCTGTATGGATGAAGCCACCTGGATGTAAGAGAAAGGACCTAAATTGTTCTAGGGAAAGTTGTGAATTGCAGTCATCTTTGGGGGGTTTTAACATCAAATGGGGCTGGAATAACTGGGACTGTAAAACTTACCTCATTTGAATCTGTCAGCCAAGGAGGCTAAATCCTCTTTGAAATCATCCAGAAAGAAATCCTCATGTCGGTACACTCCAGACACATTCAGTCTTCCCACCAGAGCAGGCCTAACCGGAAGCTTCCAGAAAGCTGTTCTTGACTTGCTGGGTTAAAACAAACGGCTCTGGGTCAAATATATGTTCTCCCTTGACCTCCTGCAGTGGATGTTGTGCGAGCTGGACCCTGGCTGCCCTCTGCACGTGCCTCTACTGCCTTGTATAGTACAAGGTACGTCTGGGCTTCGAAAGAGAGAGGATGCTTTGAACCTAAAGTTTAGTTGGCATCTTTGGATCATTTCCAAACACTGCAACGTGGTCGAACAGTTTGTTCCCACAGTGTATTGGAAGGCTGGGGCACAAAGTCATTCTGACCTCCATTTCCAAACACACCCTGTCGCATGCTCCTAATGTTTCACGTGGGGAATATTTACTCTCCTGCAACTTACCCCAGGAACGCTTTCTCTCCTCTCTGTTTTCCCTTGGGAAATAGGATGTTCCTTCATGGAAAGAAAAAAAAAACCTTTGGAGAGTTCTAGCTGGCCCTTTAGCCAGTTGCTCCATTGGATGGGAATGGTTTGTTCCACCTAGTGATGGGTGGGGAGGTGTAGTGAACCATTGCATTTCACAAAACTCAAGGCTGTGAAGGTACTTCTGTGGGGAAGATGGTACTGTCCTTTCCCCTTCCCCTGTTGTTTCCTTCTGTACATCCTCTCCTCCCTGGAGGAGGTAATCTTGCATTAATTATTGTGGGTTTTTTTGTATTTGTATAATTTATTTAAAAAAACAACAACTTTGTTTTTTCTATTAAATTATTGTAATAAAGGCTTCTGCTTAAAAGAGTACGTACTGTTTTTTTCTGTGCTGCACAGAGCGATAGAGGCAGGATTCTGTTCTCCAGTGCTTTTCGATGAACCTCAACAGCTTTTGAAAACGTCTTTTGTGGGTTACAAGGCCATCTTTTGCTCTAGCCTCCTCTGTAGCTGTGTGGCTGTGCCTGGCAGCCTGTGGGCCAAATCCTGCCCTATAAAAGCTTGATAGCTGTTCTCTTCATCAGCTCCTTACTTCCTTGTCTCCATGTCCAGGGCCTCTTCCAGGGAGGGGAGAAAAACAGTGACCCTATAGGCAAGCTTTCTTCTTTAGGTTCTAGAAACTCCAGACGACTTGTTTTTAAAGAGTGTTAGATGGTTGGTTCTGCCAGTGCCACCCTCCCTGCGTGCATCCTTTGGATCCCATAAAGTACCGTGAAAATGTATGTGGGGGTGGCGATTGTCTGGGAAGTAGAACACTGAAGGGAAGAAGAGCAGAAAGCCCAATGCTCTACTGGGGTCAAATCTGGCCTTGTCTCCTTGCTGACCACTGATATTTCACAGTAGGTCAGCCTGCATTTCAAAAAGCCTCCAGGAGGTAGGCATGTAGGCAGAGTATGGTGGGAATGAAGTCGTGGCTGTCGGGTGTTCACGCAGCACCCGATATAACAAGGGCCTGACACAGCAATGGGAACGTCTTGAGAAGACTATAGGGCAGTGCTACGGTGTCGGTGCGCAGTGATTACAGCAATGCATAGTTTGTTTTTAATTGGTGGCTTCTGTTTTGGTGGCGGCTTAGCTCGTTTTGGAAGGAAGAGTCGTCCGTGGCACGCTGCTACAGATTCTCAGAGCAGGGCACAAACATCTGTGTATCGCATGTATTTAAGACCATGCATATATTTATATCCCCTCCCCAACTTGAGACTCCAAGTGGCCTTTAGAACATTGTTCTCCCACAACAATAACCCTGTGAGGCCAGAAAGAGTGAGCGACGGGCCCAAGGTCACCCAGCAAGCTTCCATGGCAGAGCGAGGATTTGATGCTCTGCCCATCATACGTGCCAGCCTGCTCCTCCAGCAGTGAGAATGATGTTGACTGTGCAGGTGTGCATCCTGGAGTGGGCTTGTTGGTGTACGGTGTCCTTGTCTTGGAGGCATCATTTCCCAGTCTCTGCTGTGCTGCTCGTCCCTCACATTGTGCTTACTACATTTTCATCCCGTTTCTCCTTGAAAGAACAAAGCTTGAGATCAGATACTGGAGAAGTGTGCCTGCACATGAAAGCTTATACCCAGAAATTAAACTTTGTTGGTCTTCAAGGTGCCCCTGGACTCAGACGTCATTCTGCTGCTTCAGACCAACATGGCTGCCCCACCTGAGTCACATCACCTTGAAAGAGCTCAGGGTGGCACACATGCTTCACCCTTCCCACATTTTATCCTCATAAGGACCCAGTAGGGTTGGTTAAGCAGACGGTGAATGACGCACCTGTGGTCACCTGGTGGGCTTCATAGTTAATCGGGTCTTGAACCCTGGCCTCTCAGCACTCTAACCACTGCACCCACCTTTGATCTGCTGCTGCTGCTGCAAGCCATGCTAGAACTGTTTTTGCACTTCCTTTCACAGATCTTACTGTTGTGCAAGCAGGAGATGCAGAGACGGAAGTATATGATACAATTTCCTTGCTTATGTGTCTTCCTTCCCCCTCTAAATACAATCAAGTTCCGTGTTTCCTTTATCTTGACGTTTTAAGAGCTGGAAGCCGCAAAAACAAATAAGTCCTGTGGGAGTGAGGCTTACCAAGCACCAACCCCCTCCACTGACAAGTGTGTAAATAGTGCAATCTCTGTAGCTGTTAGGGTGTGTTTATCATCATTTCTTAAATAACTGTTGTGTTGTGGACTGAGTTCAAAACCGTCTCCAGTGGTCAATTAGAGGCCGTTCACAATCAGAACATAAAAGTGGTAGCCTTCCCATTTTTTTTCTGTGACATTTGGTAATTGGAGGTATACTGCTTCTGAACAAGGAGGTTCCTTTTTATGGCTGCTAATCTTGTTTAGATCTATTGACTGTGGAAGAATAGCAGGAAAAGGAAAAAGGGGAGGAAGGACAGAAATGTGCTGAAGGTGATCATCTATACATGCTTCTCAGTTTAAGAAAGTATATTTTTTCAAACGGGTTACAAAAAATATCAGGTTAATGTTTTTAAAGTCGGTTAATTTTGAAAATTTAGCGCCATTGCTTGCAAGTGCTATTTGCAGGTGGTAGGCAGAGTATTTGAATTCTCATTGCCTAGTGTGGGAAATGTTACTACACTTCATTTAATGTGTATCCTGACGATAGGAGTAGTTGTATCTGACAAAGGGAGCTTGACTCTCAAAACTTAGACCCTGAAAATCTTGTTGGACTCTTAAGGAGCTGCTGGATTCAAATGTAGCTCTACAAGAGTCTTGAGGCACCTTGAACAGTTTGAGGCATAGTCAGTCACAAGCTGGGGGGGAGGGCACCATGACTCACACTGAAGCCAATAAGGAAGAGAACATGGAAAGCTGTGTATGAACACTAAGCAAACTATGACTAGCCAATTGTATACAAATTATGTATTGTATTACAATGTGATTTCAATTAATACAAGGGCTTCCGGTGGGTGGATCGGCGATGGCAGTCGCTCTCCTCGAAGCTCGAGGAGGCAACTAGCACACCTTCGGCTTGGAGGGGTGCCACCGTCCTCAAGTGGCACTCCCACGGAACCCTTGCGGAGGGTTCCAAGCCTTTTGAGGGTTAGCCTCTTCGACGGCTCGAAGCCGTGGAATAGAGGCTTCCCTCCGCCCTGATGATCCAGCCGATGGGTGACCGGGACAAGCCAATCTGACCGGGACAAGTGCAGGAGATCAAGCGGAATAGCGATGGAAGAGAGCGAGGTCAGAAGTGACCAACAATGAACGTGAGTGAGAGATAAACGGACTGTTTTTGTAAAGCGAAGCCCCCCCCCGTGGAGAAAGCGTAGTGCAGGGAGGGACATCTGAGCGATTTAATAGATCAAAGAAGCGAAGGGGGGGAGGGGAGAGAAACAGCATTACATTTTGAGAGACTTACTTGAGCTTGGATAGAGAAACGGAGAGTCTTTCGAGCTCTGAAACAGAGGTGTTGAATTGTAAACAAAGAGAGAACATGGCGGTTCCACGAGGGAAAGTAAAACCGAAAGGCAGCCAGAGTCCAAGATCAGAAGAGGGAGCAGACGTCATGAAGACATTAGCAGATATGCTGAAACCGGTATTGGAAGCAGCTCGTGGTATTAACCAGCAACTGGCCACACTAAACCAAAACTTCGCCTCGCAGCAGCGCCAGCTGGCAGAGACGGAGAAAAAAGTGGAGCAGGCAACTGAGAAGCTGGTAGAGATGGACACCAAGAACAAGAAGATGAGGAAAAGAGTGACAGAGATGGAAATAAAACAAAAGCTGCAGGAAAACCGTTTACTTCAGCTGCAAATGGAGAAAGCAAACATGACTCTCAAATTTCAGGGACTGCCTGAAAAGGAAAAAGAAGATTTGAAGAAGACTCTGGGAGAGATCATCGCTCCAGTAACAGGTTTATCAGCGGATGAAATAATAAAAGATATAGAGTCTGCCTATCAGGTATACTCTAATTACATTAAAAAAAATAGCCTGCCTGGGGAGATTGTAGTCAAGTTTGCAGGAAGACAGACCAGAAATGTTATATTAAAGGCAACCTCGGCAAATCCACTGAAATTTGGGAATACAAATATTAAGACTCTAAAAGACATCCCATTTGAAATCCGTCAAAAGAGGAAAAGCTACAGAGAATCTCATTTCTTCAGACAAATGGAATACAATATCGCTGGGTGATCTTTGAAGGTGTCATCTTTAAAATTAATGATAAAAGAGAGACGATTGACTCCATCTTTAAAGCAAAGGAATTTTTGAGACAGCTGGGGCCAGAAGCAGAACTAAAAGATGAAGAAACAAAATTGAGTGACTCTGCTACCTCTGGAACGGGGGAGGACTCTGGGGAGGAAGCGGGTGTGGGAGAAAGCAAAACGGTGTATGATTTCAGAGAAAGAAGACAGAAGTAAGGGCAGAAGGACTCTGAAAATAGCCCTATGAAAATAAGAAGATGCTCAAGAAGTGTTCTCAAAATATTAAAATTATTAACATTGAAGCAGTAGTTAAAAATAACTCACAAGTATATTGTTATACTAACACGTATTTACTAACATGTAGTTTAACACGGAAATGATCTCCTACTC